TTGGCTCCTCGTTACATTGAACCCTTTCGCATTCTTGCCAAACAAGGAGAAGTTTCCTACCAATTGGAACTACCTCCGCATCTTTCCAGAGTTCACGATGTCTTCCACGTTTCTCAACTCAGGTGTTGCTTCGCGGATCCTATCCGTGGAGTGGACCATGAAACGCTTGATCTACAAGATAATCTCTCATATCGGGAATATCCCGTTCGTATCCTTGATCAAGCCGAGCGTACCACTCGACGCCATAACATCAAGTTTCTCAAGGTTCAATGGTCACACCATTCCGAAAAGGAAACCACTTGGGAAAGGGAGGATCGTCTTCGACTCGAGTACTCCACCTTCTTCCCAACATATCCTAAATCTCGGGACGAGATTCTTTTGAGTGGGGGTGAGTTGTCACACCCTAGCTAGTTCATGCATTAGAGTGATTGCATCATGTCTAAATTTCTCAGAAAGATGAAATGGGGATGATAGAACCCCCAGCACCCCCTTGGAACAACAAGGGTTTACTAAAAACTTTTTCAATGAAGCTGAAATGCCCTTCTAAAAAGTCCACCCTTTTTGTTTTGGGTTAAAACCTTTGACAAAAATGGTGAACATTTTCCTAGGACATCTTAAGGTCATTGGATTAACGCATATAGTATTTGCATTTGGGCATTTAAATGCTATAAAATATTTTAAATGCTCAAATAATCATAAACTAAAATGTTTACTGTTGGATTTATTCTAAGCAGTAGCCATGATTAATTTTATGATTTTTGGAAATGCCCTGGCATTTTTAATAAAGCCCTAAAGTTATAGAAATAATAGAAAATAAATAAAAACAGAAAACAGAGAGGCCAGGTAATGTGAGGGATGTGTTGAACATGTTTTGGTAAAGGTATCGATGAGAGGCCATGTAGGAGTACATGGTGGGTTGTTTCATTGAGGTCGTCCATAAGAACTGAGATCTGTATGCTGATTTAAGATTCAGCTACTACCACACATTGGGCCCTGAAATATGACCCCGCTCGACTTACTAACCCCTGTCGTCCTCTGTCCAGGAGTTGCAACTAGTTTCTGGTGTTTGTAGGTTATGTGTTGGCGGTCGTGCGTAGCGCTGACCCTAGGGGTGGGCTATGATGCGGTAGATACACCATGGCACGGTGTACCGAGTCGCCCGTTTGGTGTCTCGGGAACCCTGCACACATCGTTTGGGGCCGTTGAGGAAACCCCGGCCGGATTTCCTTGCGGATGGAACCCGAATAGGCGATAAACCTGGACTAGAGACTTGTGCGGTTAGTCAGGTCGTGGTCTACACCCACGTCGGCTTTCGCTTGAAGTCTGCCGAGCACATGTCGTGTGCAGACGCTAAGTGGTGGAAACATGTGTGACGAAGTACACCCCTGCAAGGTATAAAACTATTCAAATAGCCGCGTCCGCGGTAAAGGACTAATTGGTTGCCTATACAGTTCATACACAAGTTAATGGTTACTACTAAAAGACTCAAGATAAGTGTGAGTACCGAGGATGGCCCTCTCGTAGGATGACGAGGGAGGATCCCCGGTGGAGTATTGTGTTGGTGATTAGTGGACTCGTGTGCGAAAACTATTTTACTAGTGGTGTCTCATAGGATAGCTTAGCCAAGAGTCAAAGCTGGCTTGCTGCAATAACTCCACCACCTTGTTGAGAATGAGCATGTATAGTAGGTTCTGTTGTAAGACTTGTTGAGTACCTTTGTACTCATGTTGCTTTAATTACTGTTTTCAGACGACAACACCGCCCTCTCCGATGGGTTTTATGTAGACCTCGACGTCGATGAGTAACTTGCCACCCAGGTGGTGATCCTGGCCATGGAGGGCCTATGTAGATAGACAGGCTTCGACAAGCCTTCTTTCTTTCTAGTGTCTGTACTCAGACTATTTGCTTCCGCATGTGCTTGTATGACTTGAGTGTCGGGTCATGTGACCCCTGCCTGTATGAACATGTTATGTATGGCTCTCTGGAGCCTTTAAATAAAGTACTTGAGTTGTAGAGTTTTGTTGTGATGACATGTTGTATTTGCACATATCGAGCATATTGTGTGTATGATTGAAATGCTTGGTATGTGTGGGATCCGACAATCTAGTTGTTTATCCTTGGCAGCCTCTCTTATGGGGAAATGTAGTCTAGTGCTCCTCAAGCCATAGTAGTCCGCTACAGCCCGGTTCACCGGAGTCCTGCTAGCCCAGCACTACTGCTCAGGACACTTGATTGGCCGGCATATGTTTCACTTCGTTCCTATGTCTGTCCCTTCGGGGAAATGTCACGCGGTGACATCCGGAGTCCTGCCTAGCCTGCTACAGCCCGGGTTCCCGGGAGTCCTGTTAGCCCGGTGCTACAACCCGGATTCACACGCTGTTGACCGACATGCTCGATGTAATTCATGTATGCCTGTCTCCATAGGTTTGTGCCGCTTTGGGTTCACGACTAGCCATGTAGGCCCGTGTTCTCTGTCATATGGATGCTAGCGACACTATCATATACGTGAGCCAAAAGGCGCAAACGGTCCTGGGCCATGGTAAGGCGACACCCGTGGGAATACCGTGCGTGAGGCCGCAATGTGATATGAGGTGTTACCGGCTAGATCGATGTGACTTGGAATCGGGGTCCGAACATGCGCATGGGGAAAGCAATGATCCCGCATTTCTGGAATCCCTATTGGCTGATTTGGTGCAAAATGGAGAAAAAAGCGACACCCTCCAGTACGTAAAAAGAGTGGGGGAGAACCCAGGGGGAGAAGCCGCCCCAGCCAATCCTGGAGGAGAAGCCAATCCAGGAGGAGAAGCCGTCCCAGCCAATCCAGGAGAAACCAATCCAAGAGGAGAAGCCGTCCCAGCCAATCCAGGAGAAGCCGTCCCAGCCAATCCAGGAGAAGCTGTCCCAGCCAATCCAGGAGAAGCCGTCCCAGACAATGGGGATTTCGGGGGCGGCATTGGAGACTTTTTTGAAAGCCCATTGGATCAATTTGCCATTTACCCAATAATTGATCTTCATGTGGGCAACTTTTATTTTACATTTACAAATGCAGTCTTGTATATGCTGCTCACTGTCGTTTTGGTCGTTTTTCTGTTTTTTGTTGTTACGAAAAAGGGAGGTGGAAAGTCAGTGCCAAATGCATGGCAATCCTTGGTCGAGCTTATTTATGATTTCGTGCTGAACCTGGTAAACGAACAAATAGGTGGTCTTTCCGGAAATGTGAAACAAAAGTTTTTCCCTCGCATCTCGGTCACTTTTACTTTTTCGTTATTTCGTAATCCCCGGGGTATGATACCCTTTAGCTTCACAGTGACAAGTCATTTTCTCATTACTTTGGCTCTTTCATTTTCCATTTTTATAGGCATTACGATCGTTGGATTTCAAAGACATGGGCTTCATTTTTTTAGCTTCTTATTACCTGCGGGAGTCCCACTGCCGTTAGCACCTTTCTTAGTACTCCTTGAGCTAATCTCTTATTGTTTTCGTGCATTAAGCTTAGGAATACGTTTATTTGCTAATATGATGGCCGGTCATAGTTTAGTAAAGATTTTAAGTGGGTTTGCTTGGACTATGCTATTTCTGAATAATATTTTCTATTTCATAGGAGATCTTGGTCCCTTATTTATAGTTCTAGCATTAACCGGTCTGGAATTAGGTGTAGCTATATCACAAGCTCATGTTTCTACGATCTCAATTTGTATTTACTTGAATGATGCTACAAATCTCCATCAAAATGAGTCATTTCATAATTGAATAAAAATGAGGAGCCGAAGATTCTAGGGGGCTACAGCTGCGCTTTTGCAGCACTGAACATGGTTCCGGGTACTCAAGATATTGCGTTTGTGTTTGGAGAGGTGTAGATTGTAGATTCCAGCCGAGAAGACCAGGAAAAGATAAGGATAAAGAATGTCATATATCTCAGGAGCTAGATCACTTCCCGATGAACAAGTAAGAATTGCCTCAACAAAAATGGATGGAATTGGACCGAAAAAAGCCATTCAGCTTCGTTATCGATTAGGTATCAGTGGGAACATCAAGATGAATGAGTTAACTAAGTATCAGATCGACCAAATTGAACAAATGATAGCTCAAGATCATGTTGTTCATTGGGAATTGAAGAGGGGAGAACGAGCAGACATCGAACGATTAATTTCTATTTCTCGTTATCGTGGAATTCGTCATCAAGATGGATCGCCCTTACGCGGTCAACGAACTCATACTAATGCAAGGACTGCTCGCAAGCAAATTCGGAAATGAAAGAAGGCTATCGAAAGAACAAGCAACGGATTTCGCGCTCATCCCTTGCTAAAGCGCATACGTTTTCTTGCTCCTTGGTACTTGTCTGATCAATCACACTGTTCATTAGTTCACTTGATTTTTCGTTCGATGTCTTGAACCGCTTACTAATCACGTATACGTATAGTAGGCCCCCTTCGCCACTCCACGTCTGGCCCGTCTTGGTCTCGCTCACTTCGCCCGCCTATCGTATCGGCTCGGCTTCGTCCGTCAAGCGACAGCTTCTGCCTCTGACGGCTTCACTATCGCTCATGACTGGTAGTAGTTGTCTCTATGTAGTAGTCGGCCTTTGTTAAGCTTCGCCAGAAGCGACTAGTCGCTTCCCGAATGCCTCTTTCTTGTACTAATTAATGTGTATGGTCTAGTCTTTCCAATGCCTCCTTCCTTGCCGCCAACGCACGCTAGATGGAGAGTAAGCAAGCTACCTTGCTTGCATTGCATTCGTTAAACGGTAGCTTCCGCGCCCTTCCTGCCTGCTTCAATTGATGTGAATGATCGTGTCTTCGACATCAATTTCAGTCTGATTAGATATGTCATTGAAACAAATCTGTTTTGTCTCTGTTTTCTTTTCGGATGATGAGGATGAGCCAGCCGATCCTAACATAATTTTGGAGGAGCCGGACGACGAAGCCTTAAAATCAGATAAAGATGTCTCCGACGCGACCGGACTTCCACTAGATTTTTATAGGGGTCAGGAGGGAAAAGATATGCTGTTTTCTATCAGTCCCAAGCGGATACTCCCCAGCTTCCACGGTCCGCTTACCGAGCAAGAGATGCGGGAGGACCCAGGGCCAGAGCAAGTTGGGTTGGGGTATAGAGCCGTAAGCGCGGTGGGGGTGACAGAGGATGTGCTCGTACGGTTCATAGTTGGGTATCATATTCTCGTGGATTGTTGGGAACGTCCTCTATATTCGAAATATGCCTTTCTAGGAGCATTACGATCTGCAGCTCAAATGGTCCCTTATGAAGTCTCTATTGGTCTTATTCTTATTGTGCGCCTTGTGAGCACGTTTGGATCCGCGAAGGCAATCGCTCGGATCTTCCCCTAACCCAACCCGGGAACGGATCGGAGGGAACCGCAGCATGAGGAATGTCCGCGTCTCGTCGCAAGGCTCATTTTGAGTTTTGGGTCATAGGGCGGGCAGTGCAGTCCGGGGCACAAGGGTCCTGGTACTACCCAGGTGCGAAGAACCCCGGAGGCGACTGCAATGAGCAAAAATGTCACTCACCGGCCTAAACGACGAGCAAACACTCGAACGTGAGAGCAAGGGATCACCCAACGAATGGACGAGCTCCAAGGAGGGAGGAGAGAGGGAGGCAAGAACCATGCTTTCAGAGAAGTGGCGGTCCGAATCCACTCTGACAAAATAAAATAACAGACTAAGCCGTGTCGTAAGGGGGGCATTCTCCACACGGGACGGGGCCAAGGCCTTCATGTATGGGTGACAGATCGGCCATAGGAGTACTCCGGGATATACACCAGGGCAACTAATGTCGAGCATACGATGATGCCGCCCGTTTTCATTTCGTGAAAGTCCCCGACAGAGGAAAGGGCTGTAGGTGATGGCGCGTTCTGCTTCTTAGGGCGATGAAATCGTTCCTATGGGATCGTGCGTGGCAGCTGGTATAGATGATGATGAAAGGCGGGACGCTTGAACCGGGACCTATTCTCATAATAGGCAGCAAGCAAAGCTAAATAGGAAAGGGGGCGACTGATGACTGCCTTTTTTGTCAGAAATCAAAAAGGGTGGAATGTGGAGCTAATATGGCTGGCTACAAGTATAGCCAAAGAAAGATGAGACGAGACGGACTGTCAGAGGACGCAGCGGGATCAATGCATGTTTATCAAATGTCCCTATGTACCTTCTGGGTTGCTACACTTTGCCTGTCAAAATACAGAAAAAAGTTGATACAATAAGAAATCACTTCTACTGGGAGTAAGAAGAAGAAATTTCACATGGTCAGATGGGAACACCTATGCACCCCTAAAGATTATGGTGGTGTGGGCTTCACTGATATGAGAGTCAGAAACATTTGTTTACTGTCAAAGTGGCTGGAGGAGGTCAATTAACTACTGGAGCTTACACTGCAGATACTACTTATTAAAGGGCACACATTTCAAGACACCTTCAAGCTACTGAAATTGGAAAGCAATGATGTTATACTGGGTTATGATTGGCTATATTGTCACAGTCCAATCAATTTAGATTGGAAGGCCAGAACAATGAGTATTTGTCACAATGGGCAAGAAACCATTATTCTTTCTGACAGCAGCAATACTACTTCTCCAACATTGTTAGACCCTGCTAAGTTTCAGAAGGAAATTGATAAAGGAGCTATGGGCTACTATCTTTATCCCTTATCTTGTGACTCTGCTGATACCGATGATGAAAATACTTTGGAGGAACTTAACTTGGTATAGTGAGCCTAGCAGGCGGCGGGAGTCCAGTACGATTGCTTGCATTTCTCTGGAATTGAACTAGCCCTTGGGAAAGGTAGACGTGAAGGTACCATGATTTCTCACTTTATAGAAGCGTTAGAGCTCGGCTGACACAGTGATCGAAAGCTGCGCAACCAAAACAACTTGAAACCGCCCATGCACCTTTTGCTTTTCCTGATATCGTCCCTTCGGGTAGTTGGATATGAGCACATTCAAATTGGAATTCTTCTTCTCCCAGATCCAATAGAAGTTTTGAGGTAAGAGGTACCGTGAGCAGATTTCTTTGTTCGATACCCAGTTTTTGATCTCGCAAGCAAGGAAATCGAAGAATAGCTCAGTATTATTACGTCTCCCTCCGATAATGAGTGGTAGTGAGCTCTGCCCTAGAGAATGAAGACTCCAAGCAGCATCTCAGTCTCGATATTTGCCTTTTCGGGAGACGACTTGTGATAAGCAAGTCAGCCATGTCCTAAAGAAGTAGTGGGAGTGCATGGTTATAAAGGAAGGCGCAAGTGTATTACGGAGCGAAGAAGCTTTAGAGAAAGTTCTACCTCGCGAGTGAAACCATAGATTGGAAGCTGTAGGTCACTCACCCGTGTAAACAAAGCGAAATCATAGAGCATAGCTCGTTTGTAATGCCCCTGTCCGAACTGACCACAGGATTTAGGTCGTCCCGACCAGTAACAAAGGAGAAATTCCCCTGCTTGTTAGGAGTTCCTTTAGTTTGCAGTTGAGTGCAGCCGGATGGTTCTCTCTGTGTATTCCTGAAAAAGTGATTGGAGGTTCGTTGCTCACCTTAAGTCATTATCAACCGAAACTCATAGAGAAAGGGATCCGCAAAACCCCTCGCCATTACCGTATGAGCAGGTTTGAAAGCCTGCAAGTTAAGTTGTTGGCTGCTCTTAGCGATTGAGTGCCAACATGAGACCTATTTGTTAGCTTCGAACCGAGAAGGTCCCTCAACCATAGCGTGATACGAACCAGTGGCTTCCCTACCGAAACCGAAGAAATCCTCTGGGCGGGTTCCTTATCTTTACTTAATAGGAACCGAGACCTTGACTTCTTCTTATCAGACTGAAGAGGGGAACCTCATGACCCAGGATACAAGCACTATTATCTTCTTATAAGGGAAGTGAGGTGATTGTAAGCAAAAGGAGGAGGAATAGTTTCTCATGCCGAGATCAAAAACTCAAGCGCCATCCGTTTCCTATTTGATTTCAGAACAGCGGAATATCATCACCCGTGGTTCACTTGAGCATGAATAGAGTTCGGTCTCCTTATGAATTCAAGTTGGTAAAGAAGTGGACTTCGGAGCTTTCGCTACAACCCCTCCAAGGCGGGCAACTGTCTCATTTGACACTAGCACTTAAATAAAGAAAGGTAGGAAGGGCTCCCTCCCTCTAATGAAATGGGCTTCTTTAAATTATGCAATACGTTCACCAGTCTTGGATCTTTAGAAAAAGGAACCAATCCTATTTCGGCACTCTTTAGAGGCTATCGCTCGTTTACCGCAGATCTCTATCCCACAGCTGGCTAATAAAATCGCCTTGGCAATGTGTCAAGTCCTTTCAGTCAGAGTTCAACTCTTCAGCGAAAGTGAAAAATCTACGGTCTTCCATCCGCGGAGGTACCCATGGACTCCATAGTATATGTTGGTAGCTAGCGTACAGGCTTGATGTGAGGGGGACACATTTAGGCCCCAAATAAATGTTCATCCTGTGCGGCTTGATTTTAGAAGCCGGGGAAATTTTGTTTCGGGATTTTTGGAGTCCGTTTAGTATTCCTTTTGTTTTTTTCCAAGCGTAACTATTTAAAAAAAAGAGTCCGAACCGACCTTGGGCCGTAACCGGCCAGGACTCCGCCTGGCCGGGCCTTTTTATAGCGCCCGAGGCCCCAGGCCAAGCCCAAGCCGCGCCCCGCCCCAACCCTAACCCTAGGCCGCTGCCGCCGCACCGCCCGCGCCGCCGCCTGTGCCGCCGCTGCCGTCGACATCGCCGCCCGCCGGATCCGCCGCCGCCGGAGGTTGTCTCGCCGCCGCCGGTTTTTCTCGAAAAAACGTTCGGTTTTCCAACGGTTTTGTTCTTTTTTTAGTTTCGATTTTTTTAAATAGATTGGTTTTTCCGGTTTACTTAATTAGCGAGCGTTCATCCGTTCGTTCGTTTTAACGAACGTTCATCATTTTTCTTTTTCTCGGATTAAATCCGCGATTTTTCAGATCGTGATTTCTGATCCGATTTTCGTTTTTGTCTAATTTTTTGCTCGTTTATCGGAATCAGGCGCTTCAACCGCCTGGAGTTTCGTCTCGAAACCCTCTTTCCGTTTAGCCAACTTAAACAAGTTTTTGCCACTGTAAAAATTGCCCTAGATCCAGAATAGTAAACGAAGCCTTTTTCTTTTGCCGTTTGTCTTTCGTTGCTTCGTTCGTTTTGATTCTTTTTGCCAACCGGAGTTCTTAAGATGAACTTTCTGGTTAGATCTCTTATTTGAGTTTTACCTATGCATTAGTTGAGTACTTATTGTATGCTTGTTTGTTTGCGATAGAATACCCGGAGTGCGCCGCTTGCTACTTCGAATCGCTAGGTTTCCCGGATCATCAGCAAGGCAAGTAACACTTTGATCGTGTTTTTCCCTCTACCCAGTTTTATTGCATTAGATCAGTCCTCACACATTGCATGATTAGGATCTAATTAAATTGTGGGTTTGGGAAGTAGTTGAGGTAGTACCTATTACCTATTATTATCAAACCTTTGGGAGTTACTTCTACGTTTGCTTATTATGCCATGCTATGCTAGTAGACGTGGATTGGTGAGTGTATCCATGACAGATGTGAGATTGTTAATTTATGGTTTACTTAAGGTGGCAACTTAAATACACATCCGGGTGGATTGAGGCACCTGGGTATTCCAGCGATTGCCTGTTTTTCTTTATGGACCGTCACCGAGGCTCAAAGGGATCATGAGATTATTCATGCTGGAAACTTCCGTGTGCAGCCACAAGCTATTATGGGCTCTAGCGTAGTTGATTAAGTTGTGCGAACTCTTACAGTGGTAGACTAGCAGATGTAGGGGAAAGTAGGTGTAACGGTCTACCCGATCGTAAGGTGCTAGCGCTTCTGAAAGACTATGTCTCGGTCATCCGTCTTCTCAAACACCATGTAGTGCGAGAAACCAAACGGAGGCGATCGAGTCTTATGGGGAAAAGTGCGCAAACCTCTGCAGAATATATAAACTAATCATGATTAGCCGTGTCCCCGGTTATGGACATCTTGAGTATCTAGTACCAGGATTATCATGTGAATCTCAACATGTCCCTCAACCATTCTCAATGTTTAACAACTATCATGATAGTTAAATAAAATTTATTCCTTTGCAGTAGGGAAAAATTGGCTTTACGCAAAACTGTAACCATAGAGCTTTCCACCAGCCAAATATGCATATAGATTAGCCTATTTCGTTCCATTACTCTCTATGTGTTATTTTGCCAGCATATTCCATGTGTTGACCCGTTTCGGACTGCAACGTTAATGTTGCAGACTTTTCAGACGACGATTAAGGTGTTTTAGGTCGTGGTTCTATACTCAGTGATGCCGTTGGAGTTGATGGACTCACT